TTCCAAGAACTGCTGCTCTCCAGCGTCATGAGTCTACAGTGGTCGCGGCAGATGTTTCCCCGCGGGGGGGTCTCTTAGGCTTTGTGCCCGGATTGGTGTGTAGGGGTAAAAAGGTCGCGCGCTGATGCTGCACGCAGAGGCCTGCGAGCAGCAGGCAGCCGGGAAAAGAGGCGGAGAAAGGAAAAGAGGATAAAAGAGGAGGGCTAATGGGGGAGTGGTGCCGAAAGAGGCGGGCCTGAGCGCGCCCCCTCCCCCCCCACCTCCCTACATTGCCAGCTCCCTCCCAGCCCAGCCGGCCACATCTGGCGGCTGCCCTCCCTTGTTTCCGCTGCATCCAGACTTCCTCCGGCAGTGGCTGGAGGCTGCGCATCTGGGGCTTTAAACATACAAAGGGACTCTAAGGACCGGCAAGCACAGGCGGTGGTGGCACGGGCTGGGGCGCGGGGGCCGGACCATGCGCGGCTGAGCGGGGCAAAGCAGAGGCCACCGAGTCTAGTGGTCCCTTGGAGCGCAGCGCTGAGTGGCGGAGCAAGCGCCAGCCAGGAGGCGAGTCGGCCACCCGCGCCGAGCCAGTGACCCCTGGGCAGCGTGCGGGCCCGGGAGCGCTATGACCGATGCGCGAGTGGCCCGGGGCGCGCTCGCCGGCCCCCTACGGGCGCTTTGCGTCCTGGGCTGCCTGTTGGGCCGGGCTGCCACCCGGCCGTCTCCCATCATAAAGTTCCCCGGAGATGTCGCCCCCAAAACGGACAAAGAGTTGGCTGTGGTGAGTTGCTCCGCGGGCCTCAACGAGACAAGTTTACACAAACTTAGGAGGCAGAGGATGGGGGTCTCTCAGCCATACCGCCTTCCTGCCCCTGGGGGCACACAGCGTGGGGGAGGGGCCTCAGTAAACAGCTTGGTGGGGTGGGGGGTGGGAGGAAAGTCGGCCAGCTGAAGGCGGGATCTGTTTTGGAAACCATGGGGGAGCTTTGGTAAGTGGAGAAGGTCTTTGATAAACAACTTGGCAACTTTCAGGACACAGCAGGGAGGAGAGAAACCCTCGGGAAGGGAAGGAGGTGCTTTGGCAAACAGCTGGAAAGAGCCCCTCTTGTAAATAACGGGGACATTGTATAGTATCTGGGGGACTTGGCAAGGGGGGCGGCTTGGTAAACAACTTTTGGACACATCTGTGGGGTTGGCTAACGAGGCCCTTGGCAAGCGTCTTGGCAGGCCTTTGGCAAAAGGCCTAAAGGGGGTCCCTTTTGTAAACAGTGGGGGATCTTTTTAAACCCCTGCAGCACTTTGGGATACAATTTGGGTAAACTCTTGCACACATTAAGTTGGGAGTTCNTTCTGGAATGCTGAAAAAGGCACTACATAAATCGATCATTGAAAAACACTGGCAGTACACAGGAATAACTGATAATAGGGTATGTTGATTTGGAACCACAGGATATCTATTTATAGCTCTGAGATCCTATACAAATCTCTGTCATTTCCCACTGAGTTTCTTTACTAGAAGGATGGGAGACTTACAGGAGCTCATGCATGGAATTATAAGGCCCCTTTTTATGTAATCTTGTAGAATGGGCTTAATGCCAGCTAGTGCATCGGGTCTTAAAAGATATTGGTGAATATTAGGTAGAGGCAAAGTGTTGTCAATAGTTATTTTAAATAGGAGTGGCTTAGCCTTGCCAATATCTGTACCGGAAAAGGCCCAGAGTTGCATTGGAACGTCCTGCAACAAACGTTCAGTCAGCCTCAAGATCTAGCTTCCTCTTGTGGAGGTTCCTTTAAAATCTTTATTTTCTCAGTTGGTTCAGTATCTGATTCATTTAGTTCTTAATCCATTTCACCCTTTTGGGAGAAGGATATGTGGGTGTCATCGGTTTCAAGAAATTCTCACCCTATCAGATGACTTGGGGCAGATGTGACTAGTAAAAAAATATATACATATGTTAAGAATAATATTACCAAGTTGGAAGGGAACAGGTTCTGATTTAAAAACAGACATTGGTTGATCAGGTGTCCCTACCATTTGTACAGAGCCTTAGTCCAAGGGCAAGGACAACTTAGCTGGGTAGGACTCAGAATAGATAAAGTAGCCCCAGTATCTACAAGGGCCTTCGTAATTTCCCCTTTTATGGTAATTTCAGTTTCTCCTAAGTATTAGTGAAAAGAGGGGGAAATGTTCTCTCATAGTCCTTGGAGCAGCCCAACGCTCTTTCTTTTTTCTTTTCTAGATGCCATTCCAGTTTTCTGCAATCCTTCTTAAGGCGACCTGACTTTTTATAAGAGACTTTTCTCTCCCTTTGTCTAAGAGGCCTAGGGAGAGGTCTGACCTGACTGCTTAATTGCTGGAGCTGTAAGTTCATGATTTTTTCAGCTTTGTCTTTTCCTACCTTTTGAATAGTTTTAGATAGTTGATCAGCAGAATTGCCAATTCATCAGTACACAGTGTCGGCCAGTTTAATTTTTGCTGCTTAATCAGAGTTACAAGCTCCTCATCTAGTCCTTCCAAAAGGCCGAAATTAGTAGGAGATCATTTTGATGATCCTTAAAACTGTCTGGAGACAGACCTGAGTATTGTTTGAAAGTTTCTCTGGAATGTTCAAGGAAACCAGGCGCTGCTTCATCAGGTTCTCTGTTACATTGCTGGATCCTAGCCTCACCCATTTCCTGGGGAAAAACATCTCAGAGATGGCTCGACAAAGCCAGTGGGCTAATTCTCCGCATTTTTCCTGGTCTCTCTCAGTTTTAAAAAGTCCTGCATAGGAGCTTCCCAGCGAACCTTATTTATCCATTCTGTTGCTTTCCTCTCAGAAACCAGTAGGTGTATTAATCAGAATAGCCAGGATCACATGTTCTAACAGTTAAATCAAATTCCTGTGCAAACTCATAGGATCCCGGAGAGTGAGGGAAATATTACGGTAGATTCCTTAATTCTGTTCTAGTCCAAGGAATGTATACAATCACTGGTTCCCCTCTGCCTGGCTTTTCTCCAAAGGGAGTTGCCAGAATTTCTGTTGCTTTTTTTGTTTTTTTTTCCTAGCCTATCATGGTCTGGTTTTCTAGTCTGAGTGTTCCCTAGGTGAGTAGGGAGCTGCGGTGGAGGAGGGTAGGCGAGAGAAAGAAGGGGAAGGAGGAAAGTAAAGTTTAGACAACGAAGTAAAGGGGTACAGAGGAGCAGTTGGAGAAGAGGGAAAATGGGGGAGTTGGCATTGAGCAACTTCAGGAACTTTCCTTAATTCAGACACAGTCTCTAAAGTATTCTTATTAACTTCATGGAGAGAAGATAGTTTTTCTGTGTTCTGTTTCAGGGGCTTTTATTTGCCAGTTGAGGTAAGCCTCCCATTCGTTCTGTTTGATTTTAAAGATGGCCTTTTTTCCCATATGATGCGTGCAAAAAAAAAAATTTAGGTGTAAAAAAACTCCATTTCAGTCATTTAAGTTGATATCACTTCTAGTTAAATCTTCCCATCGCTGTAAGCACTTGCAGGTAGAGGTTCTTTATGGACTGTACATCTGCAGAAATAGTAATGGGGGCTGGAGGCTGGGGGCTTGTCATCTTGGGAGGCATGATGTCCCAAGTTAATTTTAGTTTTCTTCTGAGGACTGCAAAGCCTGAACAAATTTCTAGGGATATTGTGTAGTGGGTTGAAGTGTACTGCTTATGAGCTCCAAGGGGCTGTCACCTCCCGAGCCACTCCAAACCTCGCCTTCTTTCCCCACCTGTCTAATAAAACCATGAGAACTCAGAGCGCTAGGTAATGAGCTTTTACATGCATGTCCCAGGGCAAGTCAATTAGTTAATTACAGTTGTGTTGGAATTTCCTATGGGGCCCTGCTCAGTTTGAGGAGTACACTCAAACACCTCCACATTGATTCTTAGTCACCTAAGGATACCCAAAATTTGAGCTGGAGGGAGTAAATGCCCCTTATCTTTGGAGCTGAACAAGTTCAGACTCTCATTTGTCCAGCAAAAGGATTTTGTTCAGACTCACAGTTAATAAATTCAATTTGGAAAGCCGAATGGAAAAACAAGCACCCAATTTTTTTCCCCCTGTCCCTGAGTTATCTCAACCCTTGTCCTTAGCCTGGGTTATTTCAATCCTTAACCTTTAGTGCCACCTCAAAGATTTTCTTTTTTAAGATCAGTTCAAATAAAGTTAGGGCCTCTTACCTTAAAATAGGGAGGTTTGAAATAGGGAGGTGAGAAAAAAATCACCCACGGTCACCTGCTACAAAGTGGAGGAGCCCGTGGGGCACAATGGGCCGCTGCTGGGATCTAGCACCAGATTGGGGTCCACAGACTGCTCCTGGGTGGGCTTCTCTGGAATCCTGCCAACTGCACCAAGTGACTGTCAACCAAAGAACACCCAGCCTAAAACAAAGTCTTATAAGTTTATTTGCGCCAAACTGATGACAATTGTCGAGAAGCAAAATCTCAACGGATTGAGAAAATGCTCCAGAGAGTGGCAGTTTTGCAGCTTCTTTTACACATTAGAATCAAAGGAGAAGACATAAGGAGGGTTACGTGAAATCCATTAGTGGGAGATTAAGGAGGCGGGAGAAAGCAAAGCGGGGAAATCTCTGGGATTCAACAAAAAGTAAAACAGAGAGACACACACTTCTCTTACATCGGTGGGTGCAGGCTAGTTAATAATTACCATTTAGGGCCCACGGAGATGGTATTCGGGGGAACAAGATAACGATGAACAGTTCTGTGGTCTCTGCTCTGGTGCCTGCGGTTGTCCCCTGAGGGGTCTGGCAAATGAGATGACACTGACATTTCAAAGGTATGTTATCTTACAGGCAAAAAGACAACCGACAGGCTCACTTAAGCCAAAGGTTGACCTTTGTCAAGGAAGCTACAGGCCTAGGATGTGACTACCCAACATGACCTGCTTTCAGTTAGGAATTTTGAGGTTCAGACCATCCTATGTGGTTACTTTTGGTCTCTGAGTTTGTAGGGTCCACCATTCAGGCCTTCCCTGAGCTTGTCAAGTTTAGTACATGGCCCCTTATTCATCCACAGGGGCAAGTGATGTAAGTGAGCAAAACTAAGCTGAGTGAGTCACATGCAAGGCAATAGAGAATGGTGGGGACTGTGGCAAACCAAAATGCATGCCTCATCTAAAGGGAATAGCAGCTATTTAGCTTCAACTAATTGTTGCCATGTGGAAATTGGATTGCCAGACAGAGCTTTGGGAATTTTTAAAAGAAAAGCAAAAAGGCAGATTTTGCATGAAGTTTCCCAAGTTTCAAAATGCTGTTCAGGCTGGATTCAGCCCACAGGCCACGAGTTTGCAATCTCTGCTTTAGTGAGACAACTTTTTCCATTTTCACTCCCAGCTCTGGCCTCTCCAACTTGGCTCTCTGACTCTCCACAGGCCATGGACCTGGGCCAAGAGGGGCCCAGACAGGAGGCAACCCCTCTCCCCACTGACCTCAGACTCACCCTCCCCCAAACAGCCAAGTCTTCTCCCTGGGTCAGGCTGATGGGCCGGGCTCCCCTTGCAGGGCAAAGTCCCTCCCAAGGGGCTCCTTTCAGACTGACCTCTGGCAGGGCAGCAGCACATGCCTGCCAGGCAAGCCTGTACTTGTCTTAAGCCCACTGAGATCCAAGCTGCAGAGGCTTTTTCTGTTCTTAAGATAAAGACCAGACTCATCATCATGACCCCCAAGGCCCTCACAGGCAGATGGTTGCTGACCCTTTCAACCCATGACTTTCCTCCTCAAGTTGGACCCTGCTGACTGCCAGGCCCATCTCATCACCCTGCC